CTCTCTCTCTCTCTCTCTCTCTCTCTCTCTCTCTTTCTCTCTCTCTCACTCACTCACATGGCAAACATTTCCAAACATTTTTACTATTTTACTTTTATGCTTTATGCAAATCATCATGTAAAGTGAGTGATGTGTGAACAGTTAGTGTTGTTAATTCAGTCTTCAATATCTACCAATGATAAGGTTTGAAGAGATTAATTAAATACTGCTAAAACTCATTTTGAGTGTGAAAACCCAATATGGAACATATAGTTCACCCAAAACAGACATTTGCATTAGTTTTCAACACACTACATTTCCATTTGTCATGAACCTGCTGCACAAGATGTTACGTCTCTGTGTTCAGTATGTCAAAAAAAAGAACTGTGCCTTTTTTTACCGCCAAGCTATGAGTTGTTCTTAGTTTTGGATAAAAAAAACATCATAAGCAAGTTACAAAAGAATAGAAAAACCCTCCACGTGTGAGATAGTTTGGATGGTTGAAAATTTCTCTAAAGCAAAATCAGTGGTGCAAGAGAGAGTTGCGCAATATATTTCTCAGGTTAAAGGAGAAAAAAACCTTCTTCTGCTTCAAGGTGTGGCTCTCCCAAAAATTTATACAGATTAGGGTTACAAGCACACTGCTCTGTCTGATATTTTTACTTGCATTTATACATTTATCTATGTGAACTGTTTTTGGTCCATCAGCAGCTTTATGGACTACTTTTGAACGACATTTTCTCAAGATCATAATAACATGCAGACAGATGGGTTTAGATCTATCCGGTACTTGTAGTTCTTGCCGATACACTGAAGAATTAATCATCGTGAACCTCATAGGTGTCATATGACAGTACTGTTATGGGTGGTCCCATGAGACATTCTGGCCTCAAGTGGATAGTGGCACTGAGCCATCATGGCCTGTAAACAACAACAGCGTCAAACTCAAGTAAACTGGATCTGATTGTGTGCCCGATGCCTTGCCCTATTCCAGAGTGCAGCAGTTAAAGTTAGGTGTTTTTCAAAAATGCGTCGAGGGTGTGTCTGGTACGTAATTCTAACCTTCAACCGACCATGAGCTAATTTGTCAACAACAGTTTCCTCGAGCTACGAGCCTGAGCTGCGCACCAGGCTAACTTTAGCTGCCTTAGCAACGCTAGTCGCCATTTAAGCTAACGCGCTAACCTTTGCTAGCTGTAAAATATTTCTCGTGTTGGTTAAAATCATTTAGCAGAATCTGTAGTAATACAAATTTTAAATGCTAGTCGGGGTATGTTTACTTCTTTCGTTACTTGAGCAAATATTGTTGGAAATCTTACGTGTGATAAAGAGGGCTAATGTTAGCTAAAAAAATGTCTGGCCACGGTCTCACAATCCGTCATGGCTTTGCAGCCTGCTAGCCTCCGGTAAAGGATATATTTATGTTTAAATATAAATGTATTCAGCAGTGTAATGTAATAATGGTGATACTATATAAAACTGCATTTGGATTGATGTTTGTTATCCACTATTTATTTACTGCTGTTTTTGTTTTACGGTTCAACGTTAATGTAACTTCGCTGCGTGTCTAGATCAACATTTAGCAAGCGTTACATTTTGAACAGATTTAAGATAATTTTGCCAAATATTAAAAATCAGTAACAAAGTGTGAGGAAGGATGATGTGCAACACATTGTAAGTAATATAAAACATATGGTATGAAACAGTTTTGTTGTCGCTGAATCCGCTTTTATTGTAAAACGTGTGGATTCGGATTAGCATTTCCTGAACATAATCTCAACATATTTGTCAGTGAAATTAGTTCTGTAGGACTAAATTCTCCTGTTTTTGTGTTCTTTTAATAGATTCAGTAATATTAACTTCGTTTTTGGGGCTATGTGATCGCTAGCTTTACCTAACCATTTGCATATGACTACCACCGTTAATTTGGCCCATAAAATGGGAAAAAATTGGGATTAATTCATTTCTGTGGCAAGCTTGAACTTGTATACACACTGACATTTTGAAGGTTTTGGCTTGATTTCTGTTCAATTTACACCACGCTGTCAGAGCTAATTACCTGTAGATAAGTGTTTCTTTTAATCCAGATCTGACTAATCGTTTTAAAGGTGATAAAATCCTGTTTTGTCCTACAGATCGATACCCTCCAGACAGGACATCATTCTCTTCGGTTGGTAGCTTCCAAGCCATGTCCTCACAGCCCAACAGCTCTGCCTCCAACAGCCCTACCAACATTTTGGGTTCTCCTTTCTCAGTGATCAGTCCCTCTCTTAGCTCCCCAGTTGTCTCACCCTCTCTGGGATTCGGACCCATCAGCAGCAGTCAGGTAATTTGAAGCCATCTGATTGTATGTGTTGACCTAAAGGGCATATAAATCTTCAATTGTAAGATAAGTTGCTCATAATTTCAAGCTGCTAGTGTTTTACTTGGTTCTGAGTGGGGATAGAATGGACAACTTTTCTTCCATAATATACAGTCTGAGGAATGGTTAATTGAGTATAATGCGTAGTTAGGGCTTCTTATAACTAAACAGTCAAGTCTTTGGGTATTAGCACGATAGCAATAGTTGATTGTATTCATTGTATGGGGTGTATCATATGCATTAACACACGATTACTGGTTTTCCTCGTTTCCAGATCTCCTCCTCAGCACCCATATCAGGGATGCATTCAGTAAGCAGCTCAGAAGATATCAAGCCTCCATTTGGCCTGAGGCCCATGCCACCTCACAGCCCGGGAATAATGCTATCTCAGAAACGACTGTGCGTGATCTGTGGTGACCGCTCATCTGGTGAGTCAAAAACATCATTAGAGAGAGGCACTGTTTCCTGAACATGCTCACTAAAAGACTTCATTAACCGTTGAGTAGTGTGCACATTGCTCAGTGTTGTGTTCTATCATCCTGGGTCTTACTTTTCTGCGTAATTTCCAGGCAAACACTACGGAGTGTACAGCTGCGAGGGTTGCAAAGGCTTCTTTAAGCGAACTGTGCGCAAAGACCTGAGCTACACCTGCAGGGATAACAAAGAGTGCCTGGTCGACAAACGTCAGCGCAACCGCTGCCAGTACTGCCGCTACCAGAAGTGCCTGGCCATGGGAATGAAGAGAGAAGGTATGGAAAAAGAAGGCCCAAACGCAAGTTTTAGGTTCATAATAAAAAGTAAAAGAACTTGCTGCAAGTCGCGCTACATGCAACTATACCAGTGTGGCACGTGTGAGCCTTTTTTATCTGAGAGTGAAGTATGTAGCCTTTGAGTCATTTAATGCAATAGATTGTTCCAATAAGCAGCCAGTCAGCCAAGCGGTTATGGCTATTTTAAATGAGAGTGGATGTTGGTTAAGATAAACCAGAGAGGACAGACAGGTGAATTGGGGCCGGGTTTATTTTCTCTTAACTAACCCCTCTCCATCTTTTTCCTTCACTCTCTTCAATTCTACCCTTTCTCCATCTTTCAATAGCAATCAAACATGTAAAGGGGATAAACGAAGATGGAAAAGATGAGGGATGGATGAGTACGTGCTTGAAACCTTAAAGATACTGCACTTAAATGTCATATAGACAACGAGCCTGTTGTGGTAGAAATGCAAAGCTGATGACATTGATGTGTGAATTTGCGCAATGGAGAGAAGGAAGGCGAGGGCTGTGAGGCTAAACTGCTTTGTGATGATAGGCCGCTTTGTTGGCCAGCTGGAGCCGTTCGCTGAGAGTGTGTAAAAGCATGGATGGGTTATGTCTACTTGGTGAGCAAAGATCATGATGGCTCTCTTTTTTAGGCTGTGAGGTTAGCTTTACACCATTTGAACCCCGGAGAGAAGTGCCTGCAGTGCACTTAAGAGTACACAGTAGGCACTGCGTGTATTTCAGGTTTGACGAGTAAATCCAAGCTACTCTTAATTAGCTCCTGTGTTGTTTCACCACCAGTTAATCACGTTGTAGTGTCACTTTCCTAGGACTCCGTTGTCAGATCTGTGGCTCATTATTTAACTGGTCAAAGGGAATAATGTAGGTTGCTCTTTATAATGTATGCTCGTTACTTAGTTGCTCACAAAGTATTTTTAAATGAGGCTTAATTTCTAAGAAGGTTTACTGGAATTGTTTAAGCCTTCTATAAAAAAAACTTTAATTCATTAACCTGTAAAGAAATTGGAAACATGAAAGTGGGTATCTTCCTTTTGAGTGCTTTAGAAGGTTAAACCACATATCTGTTGCATTAGGTTTGAACTGACGACTTTTCCTATGATTTTGTACGCAGTGCCCTTTTTCATTGTTCAACTCAACATGCCCACATGCTTCTCAGTTACACAACTTTGCGCATACCTTCACCTGCTGCCTCATTGTTGTGCAGCACGAAAAAGAATGTACCGAAACGACTTCGGAGCGTCTTCATCAGACCAAAACTATATAAACCAAAATTGTGCTCCTCAATGCTCCTCTTTTAATTAGAACATTTCTCAGAATTCTCCAACATTTTGTGGATTTCAGGGCAAGATGCAGAAAAAATTCAGAGAAAAAGCTTTTCCTCTTAAAATTCTGAGCGGTCTGGTGGATTTGTTGCTTTATTTGCACGTGGGTTCACTCCTGACTTCTTTGCAAAAGTGTCAGGAGCAGATGTTCACATTTGTGTCCTCACATGCATCCTCTCTGGGACAGATTTCTTTAGTGGTGCAGTGCAGGTGTGAAAACAGCTCGAGGCAGCCGCTCTGACCTCATCCCAACTGCGGAGCGGCAGAGTGTCAAGTTCTCCCTGATTGACGATTTAAAAGCTCTGGAACTCTGGGAGGACAGTTCTTGTGTTGTTCTTTTTTCTTTTTTATTTTTTTACATTGCAATTTGGATGGAAATGCGAATAATGCGTCAAACAAATCTATACAGGAAATAAAGAACCTGTTTCTTGGCACACAGAGGAAAATGTTGATGAAAATCCTCGGGCCTGCAATATTTTTTGTTTTAAGCGACACCAGTCTGTCAGGACAGGACAGAGTTGACCGTAAATTGACCATTTTTCTGCTGCTGTCGTGTGCTTTGTCTGCTGCAGCGGTCCAGGAGGAGCGCCAGAGGAACCGGGAGCGTGAGGGGGAACTGGAGTTCAGCGGTGGGGTGAATGATGAGATGCCTGTGGAAAAGATCTTGGAGGCCGAGATGGCGGTGGAGCAGAAAACTGAGCTTCACACTGACGGAGGCTCAGCAGGAAACTCTGTAAGTGTCGGCAACGTTGAAATCACCAACTTTTATGTGTATATCAGAAAGCCAATATGATGTTTATTTCTTTATTTCTTGTTTCAGCCTCATGATACAGTGTCCAACATCTGCCAGACTGCGGACAAACAGCTGTTTGCTTTAGTGGAGTGGGCAAAAAGAATCCCTCATTTCTCTGAACTGCCTCTTGACGATCAAGTCATCCTCCTGCGTGCGGGTATGAACACACACCTGCAGATGGAAAAAAGAGCTTTTTGATACAAGCACATAACTTGTGATTTATAGAGCCGATACAAAGCAAGCTTCTATGAGAGAAAAATAACAAGGCCAAGGTCACTCACTTATTTCAACATGTTGTTCTCTCATAAAACCAGTCTTATTTAGCTTTTTAAAAATTCTTTTTTGAGCCAAGTTGTATTTATTAATATGTGAAAGCCTTAAAGCAACAATCAAGCAGATTCCCATCGTCACGCTACGGTTTCTGTGTCTGTCAGGCTGGAACGAGCTTCTGATCGCCTCCTTTTCCCATCGCTCCATTCCTTTGAAGGACGGGGTGCTTCTGGCGTCCGAGCTGCAGCGCGACAGCGCCCACACTGCAGGGGTGGGAGCCATTTTCGACAGGTACATTCCCTGACAGTGCGGTGCTCACTACAGCAGAAATGGGTTCCAGCGTTCACTGTGTGTCATGTTTTTCACGCACTGGTTCTCATATATCCTCTCATTGCAGGGAAAGTGTGCAGAGCGTGGAGGTGGGCGCTATCTTTGACAGGTAATTTTACTTTTTGATGATGGTTCACATTTTTCATAGTGGTGTAAACTAAAGCCAATTTTTATCATTTAGAGTTCTCACAGAGCTCGTCAATAAAATGAGAGACATGCAGATGGACAAAACAGAGCTGGGCTGCCTCCGTGCCATCGTTCTTTTTAACCCAGGTACTTGACTAATTAAAACTTCACAAGAACCATTTTTGCGGATGTTTTACAAAGTCAGTTGATTTCCTTTTATCTCCAATAAATTTTTTTCCTACATTTTCCCTGACAGATGCTAAAGGGCTCTCCAACACAAGTGAGGTGGAGCTCCTCAGAGAAAAGGTCTATGCATCATTGGAAGCTTACTGCAAACAAAAGTATCCCGAGCAGCAGGGAAGGTAACGGTTTTGTGTCGTTCTCAGATCGTTTTCACCTTGCTGCATTTTATTCCTCCCACCAAGCAAAACAATCTCTTCCGTCTTCCATACAGGTTTGCAAAACTCCTCCTCCGGCTGCCAGCACTGCGATCCATCGGCTTGAAGTGCTTGGAGCACCTCTTTTTCTTCAAGCTGATCGGTGACACACCTATTGACACTTTCCTCATGGAAATGCTTGAAGCTCCCCATCAGTTGTCTTAGATAAGAAATGCATACTGTGGTTTAGATAGCTGGAGTCTGGGAAGCAGGCGTGGGACTAGAGTGGCACTTTAAGTTCTTTTAAGATTCGTCAGTTCGTCTCACTGCTGTCTGCGTTACACCTTAGTGCAGCACAGATTTGCTCTTTAGACCAAACCCAAGGCTTGGCACGATCTACAAGCTGGTGCTACATGTTGTCATACCTTCATGAGTAACTATAATGATACACAAGTATTTTTAAAAAAGGAAAACAAAAAATTGTAAACACATTATTCTCTCACAGGAGCTGTAATTTGGGTACTCATTTTTATATGAAATTTTTAAGATACCTAAACTTGAAGATTCTGTTGTCTCACCGACTTACCCCAATCCCTAAAGCCTTTTTAAAAAAAAAAAAATTAAAGAAGGCAACCTGTATTACGAGCATGCATTAAGGATGCAATCTTTTCTATGTGTGTGTGTGTGTGTGCGTGTGTGTGTATATATATATATATATATACACACACACACACATTTAATTCAAGCCCCATCTAAAAGTGCATTAGAGTAACTCACTGGGAACTGTGACCAACAGCAGCCCTGTTAGGTTGCCGGAATGCAAATGCTGGGCTAAAAAAAAAGTCCAGCCCGTTTTCTCTGTGTTGATTGTGGATCAGCTTTATGTGTCTCGTATATATGGTTAGTATCTACTTTTTCATTAAAAAAACCCAGCTCTAATCACTTTTGTGGTTGATGATTAGACTTTACAGAACACTTGCTATGAACTATTTGTAAAACATAAGTTGAGCAAACACCTGGCCTGTCGGTGGTCAGGAGTTGTTTTTTTTTGTGTTTTTCTTTTGGTGCTATTTCAAAGATAATTTTGACATTTTTGGTGCAGTTGCACAGAAACCACAAACCTAAGAATATATGCAAACATAAGAACTCCTTTTTTGATCTTTTGTTTAAAATGTAGCAATATAAAATGTAATCTGCATAAGCCTGTCAGTTATTCAGGGGTTTTACAGAATAATGTCCAGTGGAAAGGGAATAGTCCAATTTGTAATTTATCTATACAATTCTAAGGTACTGTGCAAAATAATTGTTCAGGGAAAATGTACATTGGTAAATATGAATTCTGATCAGGAAATACAAATTATATAATTCTTAATATGTGCCCTTGTTTTTAGTTTTCAGCTAGTATGAAGCAGAATGTGTCTTGGGTTGCACTGGATTTGCTGAGACAGTTTTCAGCTAAATTATATTTTTTGTGCTTTTTTTTTTTGATGCTCTGTTGTATTTCCTACTTTTCTGTCTTGTTTTGTAGGTAGCTGTCTTGTTCATCATAATGTTTCTGCAGTTTCTTGAAAGCAAACCATAATCACATTTAGATCCATAACACCTGTGGAAATGCAAATATTTTAAACAAGACCAAATGAGGTCTGTACGATGGCCACGTGGAAACACCAGGTGAGCCGTGTTGGTGAGCGTGTCATCGACCTCTTTGCTCTTGAAAATCAAGTGACTTGAAACATGGGCTGTGTGGACTAAAAAAAAAAAAGACAACTTAAGTTTTACTTGCTTTTCCTTGCTCCAAAGTGTCACATGAAACAACCCTTGCCCTCCTTCCCCCCATGCAGCTTTTTGAACAACTGACACACCTGTAACATGATTAAAAGATGGCCAAAAAAAGTCTTTGAATGAGCCTTTTTATTGTCTGTGTTACATAGTTTTTGCTGTGGGCATAGATGCGTTGAAGCCTTGGTGGTATAGCACTTGTTTCCTAATGAGGATATGGCACAGGCAGCGATGTGTGATTTGCTAATGTTAAATTAAAAGTGAATTCGGAATGCAATGAAATCAAAGGCTTCTCCCAGATCCCACTGGAGTAGCTGGTGAGGGAAAACACTGCATTTTTTTTTAATCTTCATTGTGAATTCTAAAGGTGTAACAAAGTGCACGTAAACCCCAAGGCTCCTAAAACCAAAGTGAACTCCTTTTTTACCGAGATTACGTGACACTTTTCCAACTGAAACCGTGCATGGCTTAGTTTTCTTAAATATACTTAGAATAACACTGCTTTTAATCTACAATACACTTTTTTTCACACACATGGAGCAAAACAGAATAGAAAATGTAGACGCCATCATGATAAGTACAGCTTCCCCCTGTATTGCTTAAACCATGTTTAGTCATCAAAACAATCTATGTACCCTCAGTTCTAGATGAGATGCTACACACGGGGGTCTAAGGTGCTGAATAATTCCCAGTAAACTCTTAAAGGACGCAGTGCTGGTGTGATCTAATGTAACTCGGTTATGGTGCGTTAAATTCTTTTGCTTCATGGCTACGAATCCATCACAGTGAAACCTTTGCAGTTTGGTAGATGCACCAGGCAAACTGGACACAATGCTGGAACCGAGTAAATGGGAAAACGTCACACGTCCAGTCAAGGTCTCTCCCAGGTTGATGAGTTGTTTGACAGTAAAGTTAAGTGAAGATACAGCTAATGTGCATAACCAGTCCCTAAGTTGTCATAAATACTGGAAAGCTGTCCTCATCGAGCCAAAACACAACATGAAACAAAAAAAGACATTGAAAAACACTGAAGTTAAATCACAGCTCGTGAATGGTCAAAAAAAAAAAAAAAAAAAAAAAAATCGCCCTCCTCTAACCTCCCCCTCCCCACTGACAGTTTGTCCCTGAAAACTTCTTAATAAATAACGGTGTCTGCAAGGCACTCTGAAATGTGCAGCTTTCCACAAAATAAAAGCTCTATAAAGGTTGCTCACCTGCTGTGCCTGCCTTCCCTCTATGTGTTTCCGGCTTTTCGGTCCTCTACGTCTGCATTTGCTAAGGCTGGAAATCTTAAAGTGATGAGCTTCAGAGTGGAGCGAGTGGCACCACTATTTAATCCTACATTGAGTGAGCGTTTCGACTCCCTGTCACCTTTAAAAAAACCCCAAAACATATCCACGCCGTTAAATTCCGTCTCCTGGAAACGAACTGAATCTGTCACCACTGATTATTCGTGTAAAAACTGTGCTACTGTTGGATTGCTGGTTAAGAGTTATTTTGTTTAGACTCAGATGTCAAAAAGTGGTTCATCAGTGTCAAGGATCTCACATTCCATTGATACCAAGAGTTTACATCCAGTGCAATTGTTCCTTAATAGAGCACCTTCTCGAGCAAAATGAAATGCCAAACAACCACAGTAGTATATAGTAGAATAATCCTCTGCACAAAGCCATCTATTCAATAGATGAAAGGTCTTTCAGCTCAGTTTGCTGCTGAAGCTGGAGGGCCGATGCTGAACCCCAGGAAACAGTCATTCCAGGGCTCTGGGTGTCTGCTCTGCACGTCTGGCTCTCGTGGAATCGGGCAAGGTTACGGGGATTTAAGATGGAAGCACGTGCACTGCCTACCGCTTTGATGGCCCAGCCTAACACACAGAAAAACCAAAGGGAAAAAAAAAAAACTAACTTTGTGGATGTGTTTCATTGTTCAGTTGCGAGAAAGCCTTGCAAAAGCGCATCGTCTCTGTTTATCCGGCAACGCCGTGCTCTTTCTTTTTAAATTCTTGCCCACCGGTTCATGATTGCAATGTTGCTCAGACTTTTATCCTCTCCGTCTTTTTCAGGAAGCACTTGTGCCCAAGCCTACATGTTTGCTAACCAGACGCGTAAAAAGATGAGATCAACTCATCCCAGCTGGGGTGGTTTAGTGCCGAGCCGGAGTGGAGTGTGTAGGTTTCCGGCTGGGGTTGGTGGGAGGCAGTGAAAGGGCCTACAGGCGTTAAAAAGTCCAGCAGGAAGCGGACCCAGCTCACACCAGCATCTCTGAGCTACTGGACAAACCCAGAGCGTTGGCCTCCTCTGTCGTCAGGCCGTTCTTCAGTGTCCGCCTCACTGTGGATTGAACAAAGACAGTCAATGGGGACGGTTTTTCACAGTTAGCTGACCAGATTCTGCCGTGCATCGTAAAACTATTGACGATATCTCGAGACTAACGTGATTTGCGGTTGGCTCGGGATCGCCTCCTTTCTCGAGGTTGCGTCCGCTGGCCGGGGCCCTGAGTGGCTGACCTAACAATCCTCTCCATGATCTCATCAGCTGTGTCATCAGTGCAGTTGACGGGGTCGTCGCTGGCCGAGCTCCAGGGGGCAACACGGCCTACAGGAAAAACAGCAGGCGCAAGATAAGTCTGCTCTCCCCAGTTACCTGGACGTCGTCAAACAAATGTTTGAAGACAATTCTGTTTTTTTCTCAAAGGAGTGGAGCGAGTGGCACCACTCTGAAACGTTTCTCGCACGTTCTTTTTGCAGGCCGGGTGCATGTTTCTGAGACTGACCTCTGCCGCTGCTGGCCCTGGTGCGGGTGCGGAGGCCAGGCACGGCGGAGGTCCCGCTCTCTCCTCCCGGAGAGTTACTCTTCAGAACAGCCTTCATGTTCTCGTGTTCCGCTGCATCCTCAGCGGACTGGATGCCCTGAGGCTGGCTCTCTTGCGTGTCCGATGGGGCGCCGCCAAATTTACCACTCTGATGGGTAAAGTGACAGGAGATCGCTGAGTCAGCAGTGATTGCAGGGTACAGAGACTCAGTGTTACGGCTGTGGAAAGTTCAACCATGAAATATGAATCTTCCCAAACAGGTTAATCTCATCTAGTGATACAACCCTTTTGCAGACTAACATAGGAACAGTTAGTCATTTGTGTTTATCTGACATCAAATCTAAGCCTGCCCTCCTTCTTGTGACTGTTTTGTGTTACTTAAGCATGCCAGGAGGAAAAGCTGTGGGTCCATTAATTTCTTCCTGCATCTGTTTCTTCGAGTAATATTCGCTCATCATTCGTCATCATGCAGCCACCTCTTCCTCCCTCCTTTGTAATCACAGATGAGCTTCCTCATTCATGTGTGGCTTCACACATGGAACCCGCCTATTTCACAAACCACTCGCTCTCTGTTAAGGTCACAAAGACAATAGGTATTGTTTCAAATGACATTGGCACGTTAGTTACAAAGAGAAGTTCACACATGCTCGTTAGCACGCATAAGTCATCCTACCTCACTATCATCGTCATCCTCACTCTAAAGAAATGAAAAAAAAAAAACATGGGTGTGGAGCAGGTGACTCTTGATATGTTCAGTGCGGTTTGAAAGGCGTGGTCCAACATTGGTCCGCTGCCCATACTTAAACACGGCATATGAAACCTGTGGTCTGGTCGTAGAACAGAGGAGCGCACTGGCCTGAACATCTCTGTAGGAGTGCGGCTAAGGTGTGGCCCGTGTTATTTCTCCTTCAGGGACATCCAAAGGTTTGAATTTTCACACAGTGATTGAATTAGTCTCCGTTTGAAGAAGCGGGGGCGCTTGCCTGGGCCCACGGAGGAGTCGGCTGCTCAGAGCCGACTCTCCAGGGTTCAAACGATTTTTAATCACACACTGAGGTGTTTGCTCTGGCCTTTCTGGGTCCGCTGCAGCTACAGAACGGGATACACTCAAAACAACTTGATGATTGTTGTTACAGTAACTTATACACATGAAGGCAGTGGTACACTGCTGATGTCATTGGAAATGCAAGCTGTGTCTGTCAGAAATGGCCGCTTTTGGTAATTTAACCAGATTAAGGGTATAACCAGGGTCTAGGGATTGTTAATACAGTTTCATGGAACTGAGAATGTACAAACTAAACAAAAAGCATGATTAGGAAATGAAGGAAGTGTATATGCTGAGGAGGACTTACATCTGTTATCATTTTCCCCCTGGTCTTGTTCCTCTCTCTGTGGCTGGCCCTCTTCTGTTTCTGCTGCAGCACGCGCTCTCGTGTGGTGCGGTACTCCAGGGCAAACTCACTCAGGATCTTGCTAAAGCGATGTATGCTGACCTCACGCACTGCATAAATGGGATGGCCCAGGAACAGCAAGAAAGCATGAAACCTACAGATGTGCGGAAAAATAACACATTACTGTACAGATGTTCAGTCCACAGAGAGAAAATATTGAGCCTTGAAAACAAGTTCTGAAACTGATGAGTAAAAATGGAAAATACCTGTTGATAATTCTTTTATGAACAATCTTGAGGATTATAATTCTCTCTGCGCAGTCTTTGAGAAAGTCAGACATTTTTTGCTTCAGTGCTGGCTTCATCTCATGTTTCGCGATGACTTTGAGGTGATCCCATGATGCTTTGCACCTTCGCTCCATCTGAGCCAGATTGTCTTGAAGCTGGTCAAAGTCCACCTAAAAACCATAGCAGGACATTTGAAAGGAGCGGGGATTTCTTAGCAGGGTTGTGTGAAGTGCTGAGGCAGAGTGGGCAGTAGACAGCGGTCAGAGTCCTGTCTCTTTGGAGGAGGAGAAGCTTTGCTTATGGGCGAGCTAAAGCTATTCAAAAGTGGGTCCCAGGAAAAGTGGATAATTCGTGATCTCAAACTGAGAGTACTCAGACCTTAAAAAAAATGTAATCGTGGTTTGAGAGAGTGCTGTATGCCGGATAGTTACACCGGGTCACTCCTGCTGTAGTGCAGCTGTGGTTAGAAAACCAGGACTTTATGTGAGCAGAGGGGCAGTCTGGAAATGCTTAAAGCAACCACAAATTGACATGTAGTCTGAAAGACTTGCCTTTCACATACAGGATTGGATTTAATCTGTTGGTTTCTTTACTGGGGCAGTTTTTTTTTCAACTTCTTAAAAAAAGAATTATGTTCTTATTTAAAAGTATATAAACTGAACTAATTTGGAGTTTGAATTAACTGGATTATGATTACATTCAAATAAATTAGATTATGGTATAAACGAGATTTGTTGGTATATAGAAGTGAAGTCGATTGGAAAAAAAGGAAATGAGAGCTGCTCAACATACACTTACACTTTGCTCTTTTCATTAAAACATGGAAATTGTCAAACATTGGTGGAATTAAAAATGCAAAACAAAACATCTCTTTAAATAGAACTTAAACAAATGAGGGGATGCCAGTTGAGTTTACAACCTTGGTCAGGCGGGTGATGGCTCCTATCTCAGAGTAGAGATCAGTGCTGTCTGGAAACTTCTCCACCACGATGGAGCAGGCGTGGTGCAGCAGGGACTGCTTATGAACCGTGTCCTTCACCTCGGGGACTTTCTCCAAGTAACTCAACTCGAAGCCTTTTGCCTAGAGATCCGGAAAAGGACAAGAGCACACTCAGAGGCTGGTCGGAAGCAACACAGTGAAATGACCAAATCTGGAGATTTTTGGTGCTCGAGCACCAAATTGCTGTGCGTTTCCTTTCTGGCACAGTCAAAAAAAGGGACTCAATGGGGTGTGCTGAGCCGATACGTAGATCCATTAGACTGTGATTATCAGAAACCACGATCTACTTCAGGCCCGACCAATAAATCCTCCCACCGCAGCAATGCTAAAAAGCCAGAATGCATCACAAGAGACACAATCCGAACAGAATCGGCCTTGTTCCTGTGCCAGGTTTAAATGGCTTACTGCAAGATATAAATACAGCCATTATATACAGAACCTAGTTGTTTTGATGTTGATGACTTATGTTTACCTTTTAGATGTTTGGCTCTCATATACCAAAGGTTGACTCATACGTACAGGCACGCATAAAGAGGCACACATGAGTTCAGAGAAACCCCAGTGAGGTAAAAATACACAGACGAGAAGAGTTCACACACGCGAGTATCCAGACGACCATGAACTTCAAATTACATCATACCCTTCCTATTTTCCTCTTCAAAAAAGAGTCAGACTGAACAGAAGCCCTGGCAGGTATTTCTATGGCAGCGGGATGGAGTCTGCTGCAGTTAGGCAGCACATTCTTTTATAACAACAGAGTCCAGTGTTGTCTGCGCCAAACTAGGATTCTGTCAGGAGGGTTATAGCAAGAAAGGCTTGTGGAAAATACAGGAAGTGAGTAAAAAACATGGAAGGAGCAAAGCTTAAAAAAAAGGAACTTATAAGCAAATCACACATTGTGGTTTACTTACATTTGAGCCATTGAGGAAATTACCAATGGCTAGTAGTGTGGTCAGGATATATCGGAGAGTCTTATTCTTCTCCAATTGGTCCATTCCTTCCTTCAGGTCCTGCAGCGGCTCTGCCACTTCCTAAAAGAGCAGAAAAAAACAGCCCATTTTTGCTAGTATGTTCACGTTTCAGTGCTTTCTCCTTCCCTTTGCTGAAAGAGAAGTGTACTGTAAAAAAAAGTACTTATGCAACAGCTTAAAGAGTGATATGTGATTAGAGGAGCAGGAATGTGTCTGACCTTCTCAATAAGCTCATAGTCCATCTTGAATGCCCACAGCTGCAGGCGAGCAGACAGCTCTGTGATGGAGGAGAGGGTGAGGAGGAACTGCTCAGCACTGCCCAGAGGAATGTCGGGGTTGACCAGCTGAGCCTCCTGGATCCTCTGCTTCTCCTCCTCAGTGGGGATCATTGTGAGGATTTTCTGGGCAAAAGAAGAGATGAGGGGGAAGCGGGGAAAGAAATCTCTCATTCATCAGACATTCTGAATATTTCTTTCCTGTGCAGAATCTTTACATGATATGTCAAGCAGTGAGTTATGGAGGGGACATTGGAAACCTATTGGCTGTGATACTTCCAGCTTTGTTTATCTAAGTTGTTTCCAGGTATCCTGCAAGTTTGGATGACATGTGAACTTTCAACCCCGGTTTTGTTTTTGTACCGAGAATACCTTGAAAGGTAAAGCAGGAGAAGTGGAATGCTCATCTCAGGTAAAAACTTTAAGAAGGTTCAGTTTATATAAGAAAGGAATGCAGGATGTACTGTGTTTTTCATGCTTTTGTAAAAATCTATTAACTGAGCTGAAACTAGCCTGTAATGTTAACACTTTTACCTAAAACAAAACAGTTGTCAGAGATGTCAAAGTATTTACTAATTAAATAGTACTGTGGTAATATTTTAGATGGCACTCAACACAAAATCATCTTAAAAAGCTCACCTCTATGCCTTCCTTGTTTAGTGCATACTCATCAAAGTTGAGGATAGCTGTCTTGATTGTGCGAGGAGGAGGTAAGACAGTCAATCCGATGTTGATGGCATTGCTCCGTTTCGAATCGAGGACAATGATTTCTTGTCGTTTGCCATCAACTGCTGCTTTCTATGAGATGCAAAAATAATGTCAGGTGAAAGTGAGCTTCCTCTGGGGAAGTGTTCCAAGATGTTCTTATTAGTCTTGAGTAACAAAAAATGGTACCCAAAACTATTTAGAATACCGTATGTGTTTTTGATTGTTATTTTTGTATTGTTCCATAATAATATCATGTCCACTGACTCCAAAGATTTCTCCACATAATGTTCCCTCTAACTGATATAAAACAGCAGCAGTTTGTCCAAGATTGAGTAAAAAGTATATGCTTTAAATGAGCAGATTGCAGAAAATCCAGAGGTATGAGAAAAATATAATAGGAATAATAACCAAACTTTCTCGAAAAACACATTTTTTAACACTCTATATTAGATATATATAGATGTGTTCTACTTTCATATTCTGACTATCTCTCGAACTAAAATGTCTTTTATTTTCCTAATTTCCTGTATTTGAACAAGTTGGCTGGTATCCTAACATTATTTTGAGCACACTTAATTAATAGCTCAAGTGATTTGAATTTAATTAACACTTAAAAGTCAGAAGATTAAACATATCTCTCTAAAAAAAGGAAATACCAAGTTGAGATATACAATATCCCCATCATGAATGATTCAATAGAAAAACAAATAATAAAGATAAAATAAATGTGTTTTAGCATCATTGAAATGGTTATATGACTTAGTAACTATATTATATATATTAGTAATGAATACTAAAGGTTAAAGCTATTTTTGATGCACCCATCTGCATCATTAGTCCACATGTAAAAGAACTCTAAGAGAACCTAAACCATTATGATTAAATAATGTCTAGATTTTTCCAGGAACCTTAGCTCTTTTGACATGATTAAGAGGCAGTGATAAAGGGCTAGAATGCTGAACGTTAAAGCAAGCATCATATTCCTTGCTGAAAAACATTTACTCTTTCTTCCAATTTATTTCAAGTATTACAGAAAAGGAATCTTTAAAGTTTAGAATTTTAAATGTATAGAAACCGCCACATCTCTATATAGTATTCCCCCTAATATGTGCATGACACCTCAGACGGCCAAAGATGTAACAAGAGTACAGCTCATAGTTACCTTTGTGACCGGCAACTCCTTGGATTTGGACTCAAACAGCTGCTCCAGTTTGGATGTGTCCAGTTTAACTGGCTCCAGTTTGGACCACAGGGACTCCTTGCAGAATTTATGATTCTTACACTGCCAATCCACGGGCCGCACCTCGTTCCAGAAGAGACGGATGGTCTTCTTCTTTTTCTGGAATAAAGGCACCTCCCCTCGATTGAGCTGGGGGGAGGGCGGTGGAATAGGAGCCATGAATGGAGGAGGTGGGGGCATCATTTTGCCAAGAATGGGAGGAGGTGGGGGACAACCAAAGAGGGGTGGCGGTGGTGGGAGGACGGTGAGCTGAGGGGGAAGTGGTGGGATCAGGTCACGTGACCCCACTGCACGGTCCGTATCTAAAATGTCCAAGTCGTCCTCTTCTTTCAGGTCTGTGAAGTCCATTTCCTTGATCCGCAGCTCCCTGGGCGTGGCCATTAGCTGATCCCAGATGTGGTCGGACTCTTTCTTTGGAGGAGAGGCTGGCGCGGCTGGTGAGGCAGTAGTTGATGGTTTGTCCGTCTGCTCCTGCTCTTTGAGGGCCTCGGTCTCTGGTGGGGATGTCAGACCCTTGACTAAGTCTCCAAACTTCTCCGCCACTGCTCGGACACTGCCCTGGTTGTCCAGATGTCCCACCTCCAGTTTTCGGACATTTTCTTCCCGCGCCTGCCTGTTCGCCTCCAGAGTGGAGATCCTGCTGGCCAAACTGGCCACAGAGTCACTCATGTCTGTCTCCTTCTCACATTTTTCCTTCTCTGGTTCTCCTGCACTCCCATCGTTCTCAGCAGGTGTCTTCTGAGCATAAAGCATGTCCAACATGAAACGCTTGCTGTTAAGAATTTTCTTGCTCTGGTCATTCAAATCTGCCTCTTTACCGCAGTGAGTCCAGTGACCTATTTATAACACAAAACAGGTTTGTAATGAAAAAAAAACAGTTATTCATAACATAGCTGAATAGCACCAGAGCAGATGTACCTGCTTCAGTGTCAGGGGTGAGTTTCTCCTCCCGCTCCTCCCTCTCCAGAGTGCTACTTGTAGACGAGATGCTGGACGCAGAGCAGTTGTCCTTTTCATTCACCTCCTCATTCTGTCTCTCCTTTTCACTCAACAATATACCGTCTTCCACATCTCTTTCTGTCGGCTGCACTTTCTCAGATTCCCCCTCTAACTCCACGTCTGGCTGACTTACCTCCGCTCCGGCCGCTACCTCTGTCTCCTCAACTCCTACCTCGTCCACTCTCTGCTCCTTCGGCTCCTGCTTGTCCTCTTTCTCCTTGTCTGACTGTTCCTCTGAAACTAGCTCTGCTGCTACCTCCTCACCAGACTGCGCCTCATTACTGTGCCCTGTCTCTGCAGGAGCGTCTGCGTCAGTGTGCTGCTGGTCTGGCTCACTCTGAGGCTCAGGGGAAGGTCCTGATGCTGGTAACTCTGGTGGTGGGCTTTTGGCTCTGGTCACGGGAATAATGTGTGGATCTGAGACTTGTTCTGAAAGGATGAAAAAAAAAACTTCAGTATACAGAGAAATAAACGTATCAGTTTTTCAAAAATATGAAGAAATTGGTTGATCTGACAGAAATTTATCTTTTCTGATTGCAGTAAGGCTAAATGCACAAAATCTGTTATATTGTAATATTGTAATATTCCCAAATCTTATAATTTTGTGTAATTTTGGCTCATTATATTGATCTTCAGTGCAACAGATTTATAAACAAAAGGGAAGACACTCTTTTACCCAGCACAGGGCCTGCAGTAGTGGTGGCATCCTCCTGTGAGATAATGGATGAGGGTGTGGCACAGCGGGATGCTGAGCGGCTGGCCGGCGTAGGACTCAAAGACAGAGTGATCTCCGTCCGGCCTCTTGTCGGCACTCTGGGTCGCTCCCGCTCAAACTCCTCTGCAGCAAGCCGCTCCACTGCCTTGTACCTGCCGTGTCGCAGCAGAACCGTTCTTAAGTTCTTAAGCCATGAGAGCTGATCATATTTAACTGATTGGTTGTGTCTACAGTTAGACATGTTTTAACTTCAAACAACTTGTTCAAAGCAAAATAAATTAAACATTTTAACCGTCAGAAAAAGGACATTTTAGAGGAATGAGTGCCTGGCCTATCCTGAGCAGTGATTCTATTTGTTAACATGTAACATGGAGCCATAATCCCATTACACAGAGATTCAGATGAGCACAAATAGTGTCCCCCTTTTTGTTAAAGTTGCCAAAGGACTGAATAGCACTTTAGGCTCTCAAGTAGTGATCTCAATTCACTGATTCTTTTAAATCATTTGACCTGCATTTTCAGGAGGGGTTGGGAAAGGGTCAAGAAGCTGAATCAGCAGCGGTAGACGAGCATACGAGAGGGGTCTGACGGATGTCATTATAATTTTGAATGATTTTTAGTAACTTTATTAAAGGTTTATAATTCCACTCAAAGCTGCCTGCAACTGTTATTATAACACTGGGCAGCAGCGGCATTGAGAATCCATTAAGCAAACTGAGCTCACCTCTCCTCTCGGGCTTGTCTGGCTTCCTCTCTCTTGTCAACATAATCTCGACTGAGCCAGAAAGACAGAAGCAGAGAGAGACATTTAGAATGAGATGGTTTAGCATCTAAGCAGCTGGAGACTTTAGTTTGAATCCATAATTTGTAATATGAGTAGAGCAAAGACAACAGGTCATCATAAAATGTTAGGACATGAAAAGCTAGCAGGACACATACTTTTTTACATATAATACGTGATTCAGGGAACAAAACGATCCCCAAAGACATTCTTTATTGTCTGACTGGTAAGCAGAGACTAACTTAAAGCGGTTCCTCTCTTCTCTCTCAATCCTCTGCAGACGCTCCTCCCTTTCCAGACGTCTCCTTTCTCTCTCTGCAGCAAGAGACTCCTGATGCTGTCTGTAAGATGAAGTGAGCAAGCCCCCTAAAGCCGGTCTGTGTGTAAAAAAAAAGCAGAAATGAGGGCATCATTTGACATAATTTTTTTTATTTAAATGGTCAAACTTATTTTTCCTTCTTTCAAAATAGCCAAAACATTCTGTTTTGACTGTAAAGAAGTTACCTGTCAAGTTTTAAGTCTGGTGTTGAGGGCGCTGAAGCAGTGAGGGGATGGATGGGTGACGTAGTAGTCTGGTGCCTGCCAGGGTATGGAGTCCTAATGGGAGTGATTCTGTTAAAGAAAAGAAGAGATAACTTAATTATTTGTCCAGTCTAAAAGTGTCTCTGCCTGTAGAAAGACAGGCAAAAGAGTAACTTTATACTGTTTTAAAAATCAGTGATGTAATTCCAAAATCATACTGCTGGATATATTATAAAGATATGACCTCACAAAAAAAAATTGAAAAGCAGCAGTGCTCGTAAGCACTTCTTCTTCAGCATTCCTTGTTTTTTTTCTCTCACAATACCTGTATAGCGAGCCATTAAAACTACGAAAATAGTTTGCTAAATTACAGAATCAATCACCAGAAGGAAGTGTCATTTTTCATTAGTGTTAAAAAAGAAGGATGCGTTATATTTCTTCAACTTTTTCTGCACGTTAAATCCATTGCAAACCCCCTGTCCCACTCCTGATCTTACCTTTCAGCCCAGCGGGGCTTTCTAGGCGAGCAAGATGTGGGAGAAGTAGTTTCTGTCAGACTGAAGATGAAAGCAAGGAAAATAGTCAAGTCAACCCCCACAGAGGTGAAAAGATAAAGTGCTAATCAGTCAGGTTAGTGTGAGAGGAGACGGAGGAGGCAGTGCTGCACAACCACAGGACCACAAAGAAGCAGGGGACAGATAACAGCTACCTCCTATAACAGTTCTCAAGATTTTCCACACTGTAATTGTGTTTATATCACTTATGAAAGAGGGAATCCCTTCAGCTAGGAAGGCATCAGGGGAACATGCTCAGGACACTCTGTGTCAGAAACAACCAAAAACAAAAGACAACTACTGAGAGTACTTTGACTAACCTAAGGGACCTGTTTTTGGATTCAGACAGACTAAAGAAAATCTCTTTCTGTAATTATTATGCCATGTTGAGACTGATGGAAAGAGTAAATCAGATAATGACAAAATGTGTTATAAAAGGTCAGATATTTCACTTTGTCACCATTTGTGTTTGTATGCTTGCTAAACACCAACAAAAGACACTGATGATGGTGAAAGATGACATTTGTCCACACTGAGAAGAAGGGAATGACCTGGTGTAATTTAAGCAAATGAATGTTGAGCTCCTTGGCCCCTAAAAGATACATGACTCCAGTTCAAAAGAAGGGAAAAAAACAAAGAAACAGAGGTGGAACTGGGAGGAACTCATACTGAGGGAGTGCAGGGCCTGGAAGTACAACAATATGGAAGATACAGTCAGGTAGCTGGGAGCAACACACCAAGGACTAAAGGTCCTCTTTTTAGGTGCGATGGACACAGGAGAAGATGTCCTGGTGTTGACGCTGAGATACTCTCTCTGAGCTGCAGGGTCACTGGCATTGGGGAGGATGTTGGCCATACACTTTAAGTTCAAACACAAGCTAGAAGAGTCTGCTACATCTGGAACCACACTAGGATGACAAAATACAAGAGAGTAGGAGTCCAAAGAGAAGGACAAGGATAATCACACTTTAGAATGGAGGAGAAACTAGGGAGCAACTGTGAGAGAAATATGGGGAAACAGCATCCCGCTTGGGATAGCAGCTGGCCTAAAATACCTGTGAGCGTCCTGTCTACAGGACTCAGTCACGGGATGGCTTTCATCATCTGCCTCGTCCTCCTCATCCTCATCCTCATCATCCTCCTCCTCCCCCTCCTCCTCCTCCTCCTCCTCTTCCTCTTCTCTGCGGTGAGAGGAGGGGTCGAGGGTTGAAAAGAGGAAAGGGAGGATGGAGAGGCAGGTGGGAGGGGAGTGGAATTGAAGAAACAATGTGAAGCCACAGAAAAGACAATGACCAATAGACACAGCACTCAGAAAAGAAAGACAGAAAAGATGTGCTCGTCAAAACAGCAGGCCAGAATAAAGTGTTGAGAAAAGACAAACATGGACGGATCGACAGGACAGTTAGTAGATTTAGACAATACTAGTTCTATGTCTGAAGACATTACAAGCGCATGTGCACATGCAACAGTTCAAACTACCCTGAACTCTCAAATATGGAATAACTATCAAGTTTATTTAATTTGATAAAAATGTAGTTTAATGTCACAATCCCTGTCAGATCTGAATGAGATATCACCAAACCAATGCTGTGGGATTATCATGCTTAAGTCTGAGGCTCCTTTTCTATTTGGATCCATTTTGCTCGTCTGGATTTCATTAACAATATGGAAAATTGCGATCTTCAAAGGCAGCTTGAATTTCCTGTTGTGGGCTGGAGGAGACGAGCTTGGTATCAAATGACCTGCTGGATTGAATTTAAGTACACTTGAACACTCGCAAGCTACCAAGGTAAAATCAGTTTCTATGCTATTTAGAGAAAGCTGGTTACTTGTGATTAAGGATTGGATTTTTGTGGCAAAGGTAATGAGACAGGAAGGGTTCACATGGTCTTCATTGAATGATCACACTTCTTTGGGTCTAAACTGCAACAAAGATTTCCTGAATACAAAACAATGATCAGAAGCAGTGTAGTTTCTGATCAACACACTCAATGAAAAGAAGAGATTGTGTTCAAATCACGTGTTTACTGCTTCTTCCTGTTGCCATTAGAGGGAAAAAAAACCTTTTTGGTAGAAGGAAATGCATTAATGTTACTTTCAAATTCTTGAAGTGACTAAATAATCAAATGCTCTGCTTTGGCTCTGGAAAGATCACATACATATATCCAAAATCAAAATATATTACTGACTTACAGTGAAGCTCTTTCCACTGAAATACTACATGGACCCGTAAATAATTCCTTTTTACTTGCAGCTGTCTCTCATGCTTTGAAATATACCCCACCCCCTGGATGAACCTGTAACCATCAGGATCAGAACAGGTTCAAGCTGAAGTGGAGGCAGAGTTAAAGCCTTCCTACCCCGTTTGAATATCATCCTTTGCCCACCTTGCCTCACCTTTCACTGATATCTTCCACCCGTTGGCTGCTGGGCGACAGGAAGCTGTTGGCATGACTGTGGGGGCTGCTGGGGGATGCTGGGGCAGAAAGATGGCCTCTGCTGTTCTGAAGCGAATGTCTCCGGCTGCGCCTTCTCTCCAGGCCTCGTCTCTCATTGGTGCTGCTGACACTGGCCCGCCGGCGGTCCTTTCGGACGCTCGGGGGCATCTGGGTTTCATCATCCCCATCCTCGTGTCGAAGGCTCATCTAGGTGAAAGCGGAATCCCAAAACAACAAGGTGAACAAACTTGAAATCGTCTGCAAGCAGTCTAAGCGAAAAAAGAGACAAACTCATATGCACAAGACGTTTGCTGTGGGCTCCGGTTCCCTCACCTCGTAGATGTTGAACTGCTCCACCAGATCAAGGTCGGTGCCTTTTCTGCTCAGGTGTCTCTGCGCTGTGGCTTCAATACCCTGCTCCTCCAGACAGTCCACCATATCGTAGTAGGAGTCCTGATCTGGAAGGCCCGCCAGAGTCTGTGGCAAAGCACATTTTAAGTTGTCTTTATTTTGCCTTTTTTCAGTTGCAAAAGTTTTTTGTACTGGGGAAAGAAACTGAAACAAGCCAGATCTGAATGACTTAAAGATAAGTCAAGCATATAAGTCTAGTCAAGCATAACTAAGTCTGAAAGTCATGAAAAAATATGCAGTACTCCCTGTAGTATGGAGCCTGCTGAGGAAGGATGGGGATAAAAATCCTTCAAATGAATAAAGTGCAGTAATTTTGGCAGGATTTTTGGGGATCAATTACAGGACGATGGAATCTTCCGGTGGTTTGCATTTCCAAAATCAAATATATACCAATTAATATGAATATTAACAATGTATACATCTGTAGACCTTCAGACTGTTGTGTTGATGCTTTTAGATTTGGCTCAAAAGATGCGTCCACCTTTTTTTCCCACTTTAAAATTCCTTGGCAGTTCAGAGGAGGGTGAGTTATTGGCAAATCCAGGTTTAAAGGAATGATCCACTTTGCATGATGAAGAATGGGAAGTCAGTTTAGCTTTATAGCTGTCAGCTTCAAATGTGTTACCCCCCCAACTTTGGAAAATATGGGCTAATCAAGGACATGCAGCTTTAGGAATTATCCAGTGTTTAACAATTTTTAGGTATTCAAAGCTCTATTTGCTTTAAACCATGGGAGATGATTTAAACATCATCAAAAAGCAACAGTAGCACACAGGCTGAATCTGTACCTGATTCAATCAGAGAAAATAGACCAATGAGTCTGATTACATTTACCAAACAATGTTGAACTGGGAAGTCTTCTACCTCTTGTTAACATACTTCCCCCTTATCTGGGTAAGTTATTCAAATGCAGATTCGATTTCAATACAATGCATAAAGAACACCTGAACAACATAACACAACAACGTACTATGTGGCAATATATATACTGTGTATATATACACACATACATATGCGTATATATACTGAATATATACTGTATATATATATATATATGTACAAAATCTAAAATTGAGATGAAATGTTTTGATGTGAGTTGTAGTAGTTAATTTCTAGTAGTACAGTAATAACTCACCTTATTAATGAGAGTCATGGCAAACACAAGCAGCTCTGTATCCACTCCATCTTTCTCATCCAGAATTTCTATGACATTGGACCACAGTTTCCTGCCTGTTGATAAAAATAAATACAACACATTGAGTATGATAACACACATTCTAAAGAAAGCAGCATACAAACTTTTTTTAGAGGTGTACATACCAATCCATCTTCTCATCTTAAGGTTTTTAAAGATAAACAAAAATACACTAAATGTGTCTTATTAGAAAAAAAAAATGTATAGGTCATCTCATGGGCTCAGTGAAAAACCACCAGCAACAGCACTCCTTCACTCAAAAAGGGGTAAAAAACTGAGCAATGACGGTTGTATCTCCACCAAGAAAAGGGCACCTCTGTGCTCCAGACGTCAGCTCAAGTACATCTCCTCATCAGGAGACGGGGGATCATGTTTAGTATTCTTACGTAACCACAGACGCGATGTGATAAGACTGAGCTGAGACAGAGGGATACCTGACCCCTCCACACAGATGTCCAACCCCCTGGTGTATGCCACAGCACAATGTTGAGCTTTTAGAATGGCAGGTAACTGAAGCCCTCTGCAGGTAGGACTAACAGGCTTTTCAATGAGGTGTGATCCATGCATGGCTATGGAGCAGCCCGGGACAACTGATCTCATCGCTCCGTCTCCATTTGACAGATCAGGTTTAACACAACAGCAGATAATTAAAACTGATAAGATGGCAAATCCTGGAGGGACTACATACATGGTGAGTCTTGCAGAAAGTCAGTGACAGATCACTGAAGCTAACAAGGAAAATTTGTGATTGCTTTTTCTTTTTTTAAATGTAAACTTTCACAATTTGAAGGAATAAAATCCTAACTTCAGGCTACCATATCAAGTTATCGGGGAATACGACAAATGTGAATAACATCTCAGCATCTCTTATGTACCGTTAAAGAATTTCGCAACTCTATAAATCAGTGAAAGTGACTGAAAAAATGCGTCAGATTGCCCAATGCGTCAATCTGTCATATTTAAGGGTTCTCACCTCCTTTGGTGTCCACAGTGTTCACAGCTTTTATGAGCAGGGCAGCATTACTTTCGGTGTACTCAACAAAGACCAGCAACAGCTTTAGGGACGTCTTCACCACCAGGCGAAACTATGAAATAAATAAAAATCATTCTTAACACATAATTCACTAGTAATCATTATGTCATATGGATGTCCCAGATAATTAAATTTCAGATTTCATACAATATCTATAGCACAGAGGTATAAATGTCTGAATACGATTTCTATAGATAAAATAGCAGCTTGTTTGAAAGACTGATAAAAATAAATCTCTGTATTAATGTATGTACAAAACCATGACTATGAACAATGTTTGAACTAATTAGAACACCATAAAATGTGGTAATGCAGATAGGGTACAATGCCAATGATAGACAGCAAAATAAAGATCGGATAACAACACACTATTGTGACTGATGAAACTTCCAAGAAAAAAGCTTTGTGAACATCTGGCACATCGGCACTCTGACTTGATCAACACTCACTCTGACCATGGTCAGAGTGATTATTAACTGTGGATATATGCCATGGAGGATATCTGAGAAGAAAGGACTCTCAGGAAAAACAATAAAGCAGAAGCCAAATGTTGTGTCAGTATTTATACAGGAAGACAGTAAGGTAATTTGTAAGAACATAAAACAGCAGGGTTAAAACTGAGCCAAATGAAGCTCTCCCAGCATATGGGAGGGCTTCATTTGGCTTCAAGCTGTTCATGTAATCATCTGACCACTAGAGGGCTGAAGTGTCCACAGTGCTGAACGTGCTGCTTCCACGTTGAAAAGGTGGCACTTAATCTAATTGGGAATAGTCCTGACGAGATTTTTGAGTTTATAAAAAAAAACAAAAAAAACTTGTGTGTGAATATTCGTTACCTTTGATCCAACCAAAGTGTAAAGCCACTGCACCGTTTCATTGTGAGATATGAGGCCGTTCATCCCATCCACATAAAGCATTATCTGACCAAGAGCTGCAGAGAGAAATAGCGTATAGAGAAAGGTAAAGGAAAGAGATGAGGGGAGACAGATGGAGCTTAGTTAATTTTCTGCTAATTCCCTTTTCTTCCTTGTTCTTGAAAGAGTCCCTCCTAGAAAACAGCAGAAGCTTAAATCATTAAGAGACGAATAATCATTTAAGTAAATAATTAAATAAAGTCCTTTAAAGAAGTGTAGATCTCAGAGGACAATTATGTGCAAAGCTGATGCAAAGTTAGATGTGTCTCAATGAACATAAACATAAAGAATAATGTACTATATTTACTATGTTAATCATGCACTAGATACTCTGTGTAAAATTAATTGATATGTGTTTTGCATATCGATTCTCTGTGGAAAATGACCCCTGTCTTGTGAAATAAAGATGTTTCATATATATCTATATATACACACACAACATGTTCAATCAACCCTCTAGTCAGCATACATAAATATGGGAAAATGTCTGGGCAGTCCTTCACACTGGATACTGACATGACTTCCATCTGTAACAGGATACATAAATAAGAACATAATAAGAGCCAAGGGATCTCAGCGGGGGGCAGTAAAAGTGTAGAGCTTCTGTTAAAGAGGCATATGGGGGATGGGAGACAAACATCGCTGAGCAAAAGTGGAAAGACAAAGCACCATTTAAATAATTTGTTCTTTTTCTTTAAAACAGTTTTCACACACAGGAAATCCACAGCAGCGATGAGCTCACTTTGGACCCACAGCAACTCTGGATGATACATAGGGGTATTGCCCAAGAATCGGAGCATGCAAACAAATTTAAAGCAGGAATGTTTTTTGAGAAGTCCATTTCTTGGCAGGAGTTGTGCTTTTTGTGGGTTAATGCATAAGAGAACTTCGTCGGTAAATCATGACATTCCATTTTCTTTAAAGGTGATCAGCTCCAGGAATACAGAGTCTAGCTGCAAAAGCTGACCGGCCAGGTCCATTTAAACTGTCTCAGTAAACAGTGTTTACCGAATGGTCACCAAAACAGGTTCACCCTGATCTTCTCTTGCTGTGTTTAAAACCATTTCTTATGACATGTATTGTTGAAAGCATACCGTTTCTGTCATACATTTCTCTGCACTTCTCTGGAGGGGCATGAAAATTGTGAATATGCTGCAGATAAGCCAAAATTCCCAGGTGCAGCTGCAGTGTGCACATGGTGCTGGAGAATAGGTGGGTGGACACATGTCTGTGTGTGTATGTGCATGTGCATGCTGATGGCTGACTGCAGCCACAGTTCATCTTTTAGCAATCGGGGTTAATTACTCACATCATGTCAAGACAGAGCATTCCTAACAGTCCTTCCCGACTGTAAGCTCTGAGACATGTGTCACAGCGGTCAGCAGCATGACAACATGGTATATTAATGTAGACCACTACAGACTCATTTTAAGAAAACATGCATTCCCCCAACAACAGCAGACAGATGGGTGGCTGCAAACCTTAGAAAAAATTCTAAAGAGGATTCCGAACTGGTTTACTGAGCCTATGGTCATTATTTTGGACTGTCCAAACAACTACATTAAAAGCTGGATGAGAAATGGGCTGGATACATCTTTTAAAATTCATGGCTGACCTGTGAAATCTTCACTTCATAGACCTTTGGCACCTTTGTGCACCTGCCACACTACACTTCTCTTGAAGTACTGTGTGGCTTTTAAGGAATGTCCACTGAAAACAGGTGAGAAAATCTAGATGGCCTTAATGAGACTTTTAAAAGTGCCATTACAGAGCATGAATGTTCAGTTGCTGACAGATGAGACATTATCAGTGGGCCACAAAATTAAATACATTTTAGAACACTTTGACATGTTATCATAAGCCATCATTCAGAACTTTTACTGACAGGAAATGGGTGACTTTCTTGCTTGAAAATGCAGCCAAGTAAAATAAAATCAGAATGAATGTCTATATCATGTGTAGACTTAACTTAGTAAGGACTTAAGATACAGAAAACCTAACTGTTTTAACCACATAATGCACACAAACCATTACCTTTCTGTCTCACATTCATCAAAACTCTCGTTCATAGCCATTCATTAGCCATTAGTGACTTAGGTACAACATTAAGTACCAGAAACCGCATGGACTGTGAAGTGAGTGTAAAATGATACTGTAACAGTTTTAAAAATGAATGATCTCATTTCTCTCAAAATAATCACCCACACAAGTTGCAAATGGAGTTGATACACTTTGACTAACACAATCACCAAACAACTGAATGAGGTAATTTGTGTGTTTTGCAGATATTCTTAATGGCAACCCATTATTTCCCAGTGTTTTACCTTTGCAACTAGTCAGAGACAGGGTTTGTTTTTTAAACTCTTCAACAGGCATAAGTAATTTTGGAGAAGGGGTAATAAAAGGAGAATGAGATTTACCTTTTTCAAGCACCAATCTGGGACCAGGAAATGTGGGCCTCTGTTCAAATAATCACAAGAAGCTTTAACATACCTCTCATGTAGAAATAGGAATATTATTAAGTTCCAATGTATGGAAAGTATGCCATGTAATGAGATACTAGAATACAACAAACCGCCTTCAAGCATACTGATTAAAATGTAGATATAAGCCACTGCAAAATATTATTAATTATTCTTATTATTCTTAAAAGAAAGGCTGTACTTACAGTGCTTTCACACTCAGTATCTTTCAGAAGTATTCTTTTAGATTATATACACTATTTGATTGACATGAACCTGAAGATGGGAACTGCAGATCTATAGACAAGAGGACACAGACATAGAAGCTCTGTCTGAACCAGACTTTTTGGAGAACTACAAACTTAAAGAACTAAGGTCTGGTGGAAGTGTTTCTTCAGGGCCTCTCCCTCTCATAAACCACAGCAATTATCTTCCACAGCCCCAGGAATGTGCAGGAAGGGCTGCTCCATGACCACTGCCGAGGTGAGAAGCGCTCTGAGGTCTGGGAGGCACCACCAACACAAACCAGCAAACTCAAACATTGGATCTTTAAGAAAAACCAACACAAAAACCCCACTATATCTGAAAATATGCAAAAAATCAACTCAATTGAAATATGTCTCAAAACAAATCAACTCCCCTTTGAACTTGCCACTCTTATTTGTTGGTTTCTTACAATTTTGGGATTTATCTTGTATCGGTCAGCCAAACTGTCAGCGTCCCACAATTCTTTCACCAGGACATAATGCTTCCTCTCACAACCTAAACCAGTCTTTTGCCTTGTAAGCTGCTTGTATATCATATGTTGATCATCCTTTTCAGTCATCAGAGCTTTTGTCAGACCTGACCTTTATATATATTTTCTAGTGAGTTAATTAATATCAGGTTACCAATCAGTTACACATATTGAAAGTAGGACTGAATGAAGTGCTTGCTACATGACTGCTTGTTTGTTGAAAGGCTCACATCTGGAGAAAGAAGTGTTAGGTTTCCTCAGCTCCGCAGCATGTTCCTTAAGGTTTTCTTTTATGGCTGGTATTGTCATGGTTTTGACTTTCATTAGTACAGTTGTAAACCACATGCATCAATAAAAAGGCTATTTAACTAGGAGAAAAACATATTGTAGCCTGCTTACAGGTGAGTAAAAGTTGGACATGCATGCCACCCGAGCACTATGGTAACATCAGAGCATGATCATAAGTAGGTGCTTTGTTTACAGCCTTTTGAGTCCGTTAGATCCTCAGTGCAACACCAGAAGAAGGGTTAGCGCTGCCAGGAGTTTAAATATTTTACATGTTTAAATCTTATCATTATTGAAATGTTTATATTCCAATTTGAGGCTGAACATTGGTCTGGTGGTAAGTATTGTCACCTCAGAGTAAGAGGGTTCCTGGTTCCTGGTTGGATGGAGGAAGCTCACTCACACACTGGCAGTGAGGAGGTGCGCACCTCGGAATACATAATACATTTTAGAGCAGAAAATAAAAAGGGAATTCAGACTGATTTGACTATTAACTGTGAAATGTGGCTGTGGTCATTTTTGGATCAAAGACATGAACATCAATAAGACCTTTTGGTTGTGTGAGTTCACTATCAAATGAACAAACTAACTTATTAGACCCTCTCAGTTCCAGCATAGACAGTGGCCGTTGTGCGTTTTCTCTAAGTAACATCAAGTGAAATTGCACCAATTGACAATACATTAAAGCTTGATAAAGCAGTAAACAGTATGCATAGTATAGCTGTAGTCATTCTCTTACCAGAAATTTGATGATTTTGTTAAAAGTTGCACAATTTGTTTCTGTTGACAGTTCTAACTACATCCATGCCTCTGGTGCAGGCCTTAAAGACATTATGCCATAAAAAGAAAAGTTAACTGTTCAGCTCTTAGCGTATATGAACTGGATTAAGACATATTCATAGCTTGTGTTCTTTTTGTTATTCAGCTAATCACCCAGCCCATTAGAAGCAGACAATCTGCCTCTGCCAGACCAATTCCAGCCACTGCGCCGACTGCCAGAATTACACTGTGCCCCATAAAGTTAAACAACTGGGGGATACTTTCATTTTCAGACGAGAATACATTTGCCAGCATTTGAAAAAAAAGTTTGGGAGTCTGATCCCGGACATATCCCCCTGAGCTAAACAAACAGATCTAATGGAACAATAGCATGAAGTAAGGGAAGGAGCCTCTCCAATATCTGAGCAGGCAAATTCTAAAGGTAAGGCAGACCCAATGAACTGCAGTGGTGAGGAAGGCATACTTTGGAAGACTGCAGCAACATAGTATGCAATGGAGTTTCAACTTTTCCCATACACACACATCTGAGAGACGTACATCATAAAGTGTAAAAAGAGCAATGAAGAGGTGGTCTTTTTTGTTTTAAAACCAGCAGATGAGATTTCTGCATCCCGTAAAAATGGAATAGGCTTTGGCAGAAAGCATAAGAGTAACATCCACCCACTTATAAAGTGAGATGTGGTGAATTCTTACAGCTCTTAAGAGAGTAGTTATGTGATTTGCTCTGGGTCTGGTCACTTTCAAGATTCAATGATAAAGAACAGCACCCT